TGCCCACCTTGGCGCTCATGGTCAAAATCTGGATCCTTCTTTGTCTTCCACTCCCAGCCCCCCTGGGCTTTACCTGGGGAGTGCTGGAGGTGGATCCCCATCACTGCGTCCTGCAGCCTCCCATCCTCATCCTCCCCAGGGGATAACCTAGTGCACACTGAGGTGCAGGAGACCTCCACATCCAGAGCAGCAGCAGCAGTGCCAAGGTGACACCCAGCTGGAGAGGCTTCCAAGCGCCACATCCACCTTTCATCCCACAACAGCTGCTCAAATCTCTCATTTTCCGAGAGCTTTGTAGTTAATGGTCTGGGTGGGAAATGAGTTTGGAAGGAACTTGGGGAGCTGGTGGCTGCTCCCCACCCAGGAGTCACCCAGCACTGCCTGCCCAGCCTGTTCCCCCAGCCCCTTGCTGTGCTGCCTACACAATTCCTTCTCCACTGATCCCTTGGGAAGTTTTTTACCCAAATCTCTTGCTGGAATATTTGAGGTTTTTTCCCTTTTCCCTTCCCCCAGGCCTGTTCCTGCTCATCCTGTTCCCATGGTCCTTGGGAACAGGTTACTTCTTTCCCCTTGGGAGCGTTTCCCAGGTGGGAGACGGTGGCTGTGTCTGTCCCTGTCCCCCACTCAGGGTATCCTAGATCTCCAACACTCCCCCTCCCCATGGCTCCTGCCTTCCTTCCACATTGTCCCCCCAGGTCTTGGGGTCCCTGTGGCCATCATGGGTAGCTGCCCTACCACCCTCTCCCCCCGTTTGTCCCCAGCACTGTCCCCTGGGCAGTTGGGGGTCGTGGCTGTCCCCAGCCCTGCACTTGGCTGTTCAATAAATCCCCGTCCCTGCTGTCTGCCTGCTGTGTGCTGTTCCTGGAGCAATGGGGCTGTGGACCCTCTGGGGTGGGTGGCCAGTAGCCTGGGAGTGGGGATTGGGCCTTTCTCTGGGGGCTCAGAGGACCTGGTGTCCCCCCTTGTGCCCCTCTTAGCTCTTAGCATCTTCTCCCTGCCTCAGTTTCCCTGCTGTGGGATACCCCAGGAGCACCCTGGCTGGCTACTGCTGCTTCCCCATGGGGACATGGGGACGTGCCAGGCACTGAGGCAGCAGCCCTGACCTGGCATCAGATTGGCAGGGGCACAGCACCCCCAGGATATATCACCCTCCTCCCCACACCGCGCCATTCAGAACGAGCCCAGGCAGCCTCGGTGGCACCAGGTTATTTATAGTCCCTGCTCTGGGGAAGGGCACATGCTGGAGGACCGTGCTGGGGTGCAGTCAGCATGGGAATGGGGATGGGGATAGGGATAGGGATGGAGATGGGGATGGGGATGGGGATGGGACAGGGATGGGGATGGGGGTGGGGATGGGGTGGTACAAGGAGGCAGGGCAGGGACAGTGGTGCTCTCTCTTGGTCTGGCACCTGGCACAAGGGCTCACACGTAGTCCTTCATGGGGTAGCCTGTTGAATCGCAGGTCTTCACCCCTTTGTAATTCTTGGCGTAGGATTCCTGCGGGTATCGGATTCCATAGCGGCACAGGATAAGCCCAGCGACGAGCAAGAGGGCAAAGGCGATGAAGCCGATGTAGACGGCAGCCCCCAGCTCTCTACTGACGGCCTCGGGCCCCGTGGGGGTGTAGGAGTTGTTGATGATGTCGCTGGCAGTCCAGGAGACGGGGACGAGGATCGCGATGGCGGACGCGACGAACAGGGAGCCTACCACGGCGATGAACGCGCCCCTGTTGCCGCTGCCGCTGCCCATGCACATGGAGAAGGCTCCACGCGCGAGGGCGACGAGGATGCCGGCGAAGGTCGTGATGAGGGCGAAGGCCACCAGGGCACGGCCAACTTGCAGGTCGGGGGTGATCTCCGCATAGGAGTTGTAATACCTGCACTGCGACAGCCCCGTGCCATCGCTGGCGCAGGTCACCCACAGCCCGTCCGTGTACGACTGGGCCCCTGCGTTGTTGGAGCCGAGGCAGTTTGTCACCCTCCACATGGGCAAGGCACAGATGAGGATAGTGGCCACCCAGCCCATGACGGCTGTCACCAGCCCAGTCGTCTGTATCGACATCCTTTCCATGGTCAGTACCTGCGGGGACAGGGCACAGCTGTCATGGACATGGCCCCAAGCCAGGGGGTTGCTGGAGAGCACAGGCTTTGTCTGCTGTGTCCTGCTCCCTATGGGGGTGGGAACGGCTGCAGGACAGCATGGGCACCCAGGGGATATGGGGACATGAGTGACATGGGGCAGTGCTGAAGATCAGCATGTGGACACAAGTGACATGGGGACAGGTGTGGCACGGGACATTGCTGCAGGACAGCATGGGGACACGAGTGACATGGAGACAAGAGTGACATGGGGCACTACTGCAGGACAACATGGGGACATGAGTGACATGCGGCATTGCTGTGGGACAGCATGGGGGCACACAGATGGCAATGAGGACCCAGGCCCTGAGCAGGCTGATGTGCAGGGGCCCTCATGTGTCACACTGTCCCCTACAATGTCCCCACAGCACAGGACAGCCTCTGCCATCACCCCTTCTTGGCGCATGGCAAGTGTCAGGGAGGCGACGGCTTTTGGGAAGCAGGATGGGGGCTCGCGGTGCCCCTCCTGCCGTGCTCCAGAGTGCAGATCCCCCACCCCACACTCACCCCATATCCTGCTGTGGCAGCAACCCCCCAGTGCCCACCCCATGCCCTGCTCCACCGCTGGTGCTTCAGCCTCCTTGGCCATGAGCATCGCGCTGGGGGGCACAGCAGGGAAGGCAGACCCCCCTCCCTGCAGCACCGGCTGCTCCCAGATGGAGTGCAGGTTGCTGCAGTGCCCTTTGGACCCGGGATTTCCTCTCTGGGGTGCTGGGAATGGGTCAGAGCTCAGCTCTGCTCCAATCCCAGCTGTGGAGGGCAGCTCTTTCAGTGATACCGGCTCTTGGCCCCCGGGAGCAGTCCCCATGGGGCAAACCCTGGTAAGGGGCTGCAGGGTCACCACAGACATCACCCCTGGCAGAGGGGTCTGTTTAGGTACACACCAGACACACAAACAGCTCAACCACGGTGGCTGCCGTGGCCCTGGCTCAGCCCAAACTGGCTCAGCCCAAACCAGCTCAGCCCAGCATGGAGCAGAGTTCACCCCCGGGTGCCCAGCAGCTGGGACTGGCTGAGTTTTTATGGCCCCGAGCTCAGCGGGGTATCGGTTGTGCCCGGCACACCCTGCGGCACTTGCCGGAGGTTTCACCATCATTTCTCCTACCCCAGTTTCGGTTTCTCCAGCCTCTCCTTTCCCGTTGTGTCCCCACTCCTTTCCCAGCACCTTTCATCCCTCAGTGACCTGATGGACACCCAGCACTGGGACCTTGGGCCATGAAAGACCCTTTGGGCCAAAAAAAAATGATGGGTGACATCCCGGGCACCCTTTCCAAGCCAGCAGGACCTGGGCCACAAGAGACACCCAAAACAAGGTGCATGACCACCCACACAGGGACAAGCAGTGACCCCCCAGGGAAAAGCGGTGCCCCCACGGATCCCGAGGCACAGCAGGGATGTTTGCCAGAGCACCACACTCACAGTGTGGTGGCAGTTCCACCTGGCCACTGCCATTACAGGGCCACAACAATATTTTCCATCGTTCCCGTTCCCAGTGAAAGGATGGGAGAGTCCTCAAGCCCCAGACCCACATGAGACACCCAGAACCAGGCAGCCAGGGTCAGCCCTCGTCCCCACACCCCCCGAGGTGGGAGGGAAGGATGTTCCCAAGCGCAGGGATCACTGGCAGTGCCGGAAGCGAGATAGGCAAAGCACCCTGCGCTGCCCACGCCGGCCCCGGGGTGCTCCCAGCCGCGGTTGTGGGTTGGCCCCGGGGCCAGCGCGCCCCGACTCGCCCTCGCCGGCGCCTGCCATCTTCTTCCTGCTCGGGTGGGAAGGTCACACAGGCGTGGGACAGCCCTGGCGTCACCGAGGCACTGCACCATGGAGACACCCGCTGTCACCCCCGGGGTGGCCCAGGGAGGGAGCGGTGGGGAATGCCAGGGCTGGAACAGGGTGGGTGGGGGTCGTGGGAGGCTCCGGAGAGAAGATTTGGGGGATCTCAAAAGAATGGGGATCTGCAGCACAGGAGCACCGGGCTGTCCCGCTAGCGGGTGTTGGAGAGGGTAAAGAACAAAAGGCACGGCGGGGTCTGAGCAGCTGCTGTTTAATGCGGGAAGGATGGATGCGGGGCGGACGGCAGCACAGCCAGGGGGACCGAGAGTCACCCTCTCCCGCCCCCGGGTACCCCGCCCAGGGGATGTCGAGCGGGGCGATGGATGGGGTCGGGTCTGAGAGTCGCCCCCCTCCACGAGGGTGCACGGCCCCGCTCGGCTCCCGCCTCCCCGACCGGTTCTCCCAGCCCGGCTGCTGCCTTCCCACTCCCAGGATAATGATGCCCCCGCCCTGGGGAGCTGCCGCGAGAAATCACACTCCGTACGGCCACTCCGAGCCCCGAAAGTAGGTCATAGTCAAAATTTAGGGTACAGGCAGGTGAAAGCCCCTGATAACCCTCGACACCCTGCCAGGGTCCGCAGAGCCACCACGTCCCCACGACCACGTGGGACAAGTTCGCTGTCCCCACCAGCACCGACACCACCACCCAGCCAGAGGGACTGACAGTCCCGGGGAGCTTCACCCGGTGAGAGCCCCGCGCCACCCGAGGGACGGGCTCTGGGAGCTCTGTCACCACATGGCACACCCCGATACCGAGAGCCAGGAGATGCTCGAGGGGGGGATCGGGTGGCATCTCAGAGAAGACGCCTCTGCTGGATGCTCCGGGAGGGGGGGAACAGGACCCCCGCCGCGGGCAGCCAGGACAGGATCTCCTTGTTCCCTGTCTCAACCGAGACTAAAGAACCGGCTCCAATCCAGGCAGAACAAAGGCAGCTCTGTCTGCCCTCCCTCGCACTGCCCCGGCGCCCGGCCAGCCCCAGCCCGGTCGGGGGGGCGGGTCACGGGTCCGGGAGGTCCCAGCTCCCTGCGGTGGCCAGGGGGTCCAGGCGGGAGCGGCGGCTCCTACACGTAGTTGCTGGCTGGCAGCGAGCGGGCGGCTGTGAACTTGGCAGAGTAGGGCTTCTCCCCCCGGGGGGGGGCAGGTGCAGCACAGGATCCCCCCCCCCAGCAGCAGCAGAGCAGAGGCCGCCCAGCCAATGTAGAGGGATGAGCCCAGGTCCCGCTTCTGGGAGTCGGCGACCAGCGGGTTGTAGAAGTCCTGGACGATGCTGTTGGCCGACCAAGAGATGGGGACAAGGATGAGGACGCCGGCCACAATGAAGATGATGCCCGAGAGGATCATGACCCTGGCTTTGGCGGTGTCGTCCTCCACGCAGTTTGTGCACTTGCCGCCGGCGACGGCGAGCAGGGTGCCCAGGATGGCCAGGACGATGGCCACCACCACCATGGCACGGGCGGCTTGCAGGTCCTGTGGCAGGCCCAGCAGCGAGTCGTACACCTTGCACTGCATCTGCCCCGTGCTCTGCACCACGCAGCTCATCCACAGCCCTTCCCAGATGATCTGGGCCACCACGATGTTGTTCCCCACGAAGGCCGTCTCCCGCCACATGGGCAGCGCGCAGCAGAGGATGGAGGCCAACCAGCCGATGACAGAGAGGGCGATGCCCAGCACCTGCATGCCCATGGAGGCCATGGCTCGCTCCCGGCACCCCTGCCCGCCTCCCGCCGTGCAGTGCCGGCTCCCGGGACCATGGCAGGCATTATATGCCTTTGCCGAGGGAGGAGCGCCGCCACAGCCGCCGTCCTGCCGCCGGCACCGGACGGAGGGGTAAAACCAGTTTCCCGGGATTCCTCTGCTTGTATTTCTCCCTCCAGCGCTGACACTTAATATCCCGGTTGCTCCCACGGAGGAGGACACAGGGGACCGGGATCAGGCCACCCAGGCGCAGGAGTGCGTCCCGCTGCTGTCTGTGGGTAGGCAGTGCCAAGGGCAGCGCTGGGGCTCAGCCTGGGATGCTGAAGGGGAAGAGCCAGTGTCCAGGCACCGGGATGTCTCTGCCATTACCGTCAGCACCTTCTGTTCCATCACCTGGATGGGTTCCTCCATGTTTTCATGCCTCAGTTTGCCCCCAGCTCACAGTCACTGCTCCAGTAGCAGCCCAGTCTCAGGCCCCCCACGGCCCCGTGTTGGGAGAGCAGCACACCGTCCCCCCCGCTGCCGGGCTCCGTGCCCAGCAGGACACAAGCAGCTCTTGTTTGCTCCTTGGCATCCATACCAGCACTTCCCAGCCCTCCATCAGGCCTCGGGCAGGAGGTGTCACCGCCCAGACCCACAAACCGGTTGGAGCAGCTGCTGGTTCCCCAACGAGGAGAGACAGCACTGCCTGGGGCAAAATGGGGGGCAGACCCCAAACCTGCCCCACCTTGTGCTCCACCACCAGCCAGTGTTCACAGAGCTGCCCTCAGACCCAGGTCTGCCCATGTCCTGCTGCCTGTTGGTGGCTTGGGGCTGTGGGGGGCAGAGGTGGCCTCAAGGTGTCCCAGTGCCGTACCCACTGATCCCAGTGCCGATGCCAACACCAATGCCAACACCAATGCCAGTACTGATGCTGATGCTTTGGGCACTGCCTGACCTCTCCTCTTTTAATCCATGACTCCCACACATGTCCCCTCCCTACTCCCTCAGCCCCTCCAGCACCTGCACAGGTGCTCAACAGACAGCAAGCAAGGACAGACAGATGGACATTGCACTGTTTCATCACCACAGCTTAATCCTGGGCCTCTGGGAAAGATAAGAGGCACTGAGATAGTCCTGAGCACTGGGGTTACTGAGATGATCCAATCCCTTGTGCTAATTGCTCGGTGTGATGGGTTCTAGAGCTGCACAGGATGTCCCCGGGCATCGTGTCCCAGTGCGGTGGGAAAAGCCAGGTGGTCCATGCACTGCAGTGCCAGGAGGATGCCTGAGGACATCCAGGTCTTGCTGCAGATTCCAACCTGTGGGGACGAGTCAGGGTCCTGCCTGACCTGTGCCAGAGGAGCCGCCCAGGCTCCATCCATCCCTCTGTCCTGCTGGAGTGCCCACATTATTCACATACCAGTGTGGCCACCCCGGGGCCAGAGCCTTGTGGTCAAGGGCTCCCTTTAATTTACGAGGTTCCAGAGCATCCCCGCCGGGGCCAGACTCTGCCTGAGGCTTTAACCTCCCAGCCAGGTGCTGTAACCACCACATAATTTGGGGCTGGAGAGAGGGACACACCCCCGTGTGTGTGTGCCTGGCATGGGCCGTGTCCCCGCAGGCACGTGGGGATGTGTCTGTGGGCTGGGGACAAATGACAAAATGAGGACAAGGACTCCTCCACACACGGAGCATCAAACACCTGAGCTGCTCACATTCCCCCTCGAGCCAGAGCAGGCGCCAGCACGGCCTCCCACAGCCAATTACTGTAATTAATGCTGGAACGTGACATATATTCCAGCTGGTGGATGCCATCCAGGGACAGCCCCCGTGCCCTGTGCCCTTCCCCACATCTCCCAGTGACGTGCCTGCCCGTCCAGCAGCACCAGCCTTGTGTCCCCACCACTGGCAGCCAGCAGGACTGGCAGACACTGGCTTGGCACAGAGTGGAGGAGCAACAGCCACCCCCAGTGCCCATGGAGCCTGAGGATGGTGGTGTAGCACAGGTGGGACCTCCGAGCGCCTCAGCACGTGCCATCCAGGACCACCACCCCATGGACATCAGCCCCACATGAGCACTGGCCCCACGGCCACGTCTCCATGCCCATTCCCAGTGCATCTTGCAGGATCCCAGTCCCTGGCTTTGTCCCAGTGCCACGGCACAGGCACATGTCCTGGTGGGACCACAGCCCACCTGCCCAGCAGGGAGCTCCTCCACCCCAAAACAGGGTGTTCAACCCATCCTGAACTTTGGCCACCCAGCACCTGCCCCAGCAGCCAGTCAGGTGTGGATGCCCTGCCTCAAATCTAGTGGGATTTGCAGGATGGGGGAGCCCGAGTTCCTGTCCCTGCTCCACTGTGCTAAAGGAGTCAATGAAGGCAGAGTTCCTGCCCCAGCATGCCCACCAGGAGATGCCCTCCAATGCCTGCTCTGGCTTCACCAGCACGGGGACACGCTGCAGTGCCTTGAGGGCCCCCTGGGTAGTTAGGCCATCCCCAGGCTGGGAGGTGGCATTAAACCCAGCGTCACCACGATGCCAGGCACCACCGGGTGCACAGCAGAGGCTACACCACCCTGACCTTGCTCAGGGCAGAGGACACCCCACAGGGAGAAGGCTCGGGGCACAAATCTCCTGCCAGAAAGGGCTACCAAGGACACAAGTGACAGTCCCATCTCACACACAGCTGGCACCAGCTCAGCCCTGCGCTGAGCCAAGAGACCCTCATTCCCCAGCACCCACACATGGACCTACCACCCCGGTTTCTTCAAGGTCCCAAGAAGGCAGGTGACAGTTGCCAGCAAGAGACAATCCACAGGGATCTCTGGCTTTGCATCTGCCAAGCGAGGCATGGCCACCAGCCCTCTCGCTCAGCCCACGTGGAGCAGGCGGCCAGGGATTAGTTACCAGCAGCCCAGAGACTGAATGTTCCCAAAAAACATCCTTGCCCGACATAACCCCCCCTCGACCAACTCAAATGTGCACAGTCAGGCTGTTTCTCACTATGGGAAAGCAAAGCCTTATCGGTTCAGCAGGAGAAGAGCTGTGTGCCGGGACCTGCGGGGTCCCTGCGGGCAGAAACAGGACCTTTGCCCTGAAGTCACTCCAAAAGTCAAAGCTCTGTCCAATTTCTGAGCAACAAGTGGGTCCCGACATGTAAAACGCCCCCAAGTGCTGCCGAGGTGGTTGGCGAAGGGGTGGGAGAGACGATAACCACGGGTCAGGAAGGAGGATGCGGGCGGTGCAATGGGAGTCTCCCGGCCGGCGATGCTCGCAGGAAGGGGATGCTGTGGCAAAGCCGATCCCAGCACGGCCCAGCATCCCCCGGGCGAGCCCCCTGCCACATCCCGCTGGCCGGTGCCCCCCAGTCCCCCGTGTGTCGGCACCTCCCTCCCCGCCCCGCCGGCAGACAGAGCTGCCATTGATGCTCGGAGCCGCCTTTACCTGCTCGCCGCTGCGTCGGAGGGGTTCCAACAATGGGTTGCCTGTGCACCCTGGTCAGCACCAAGCCAACAGTCCCGCGCCTGAAATATAAGCGGTCGAGGCAGCACTTACCGCCCCGGCCCCGCTCGCCCGGGGGGGGGAACGCGCGGCACTCCCGACCGCAGCGGAGGGGAAACACCCCAAATCCTGCGCCGGCTGCCGCGCACGTGAGTGGGACGCGGCCCCGAGGCACCCGGGGCTGTTGCTGCCGTCAGCTCTTGCTCACTCCCAGGATGATGGGTTCTGGGTGCATGGCACGAAGGGGATGCTGCACTGGGTGCCCCCCCGTCCCCCATCCTTCTTGCCCCCCCAGGTGTCCTTCCTGCAGTGTGAGCCACCAATCTGGTGATGCTCCCATGAACTTTGGGGTCTGACCTTCATTTGGCATCTCTGCATCCACAGCAGGCAAACCTGTCACCATGGCACCGTTGTGTGACCACAAATGTGGCCACCCCGCTTTGTCCTCATCCCGGGTCACTGGGATACTCCCCATCCCTCCCCAGCTGCGGGGGACAGGGAGGGGGATGCAGCAGGAGGGATGGGTGTGCCCCACAAGCACACTGGCTCCGTTCAGCTCTTTGGTAAACACTATTGATCCAGTTTCCTCACCACAAGAATGTGTCCTGCCAGAGGTGACCGGAACCCTGAAACTCCGGTGATTTGCCCCTTCCCTCAGCCTGAGTCAGGTGTCAGTGGCTGCCCCAGGCAGACACAACACTGGACAGAGCCTGTACTTTGGCAATTTGGGATGACAAAGTGTGAGGACGCGGCACGTGGGGCTGATTGCAGGGTCGGGGGCTGCGGTGCTTTGCTGCCTCATCCCACCCCACTCTGCCCCAGCAGCTCCTACCCCAGGGGTATCCCCACTGCCCCACATACCTGCCTGGAGTATCCACCTCTCCCCCTGCACCACAGCCCTACCAGGGATGACCCCATTGCCCCACGCCCCTGTAGGAGGTATCTCCCCTACCCCACATCCCTACACAGAGTATCCCCCACACACATACACCCCTCTACCTGGGGTATCCCCCTTGCCCCACGCCCTTGTATGGAGCATCCCCACTTCCCCACAGACCTGCCTGTGCTATAACCCTGCCCCTACTCCCGAGTACCACAACCCTGCCTGGGGTACACCTTGCCCCAGAGCCCTGCCTGGGATAAAAGCTTGCCCCAGAGCCCTGCCTGTGGTATAACCCTGTCCTAGAGCCCTGCCTGGGGTACATTTGCACCCCAGAACTCTGCCTGGGGTACCCCTGACCCAAAGCCCTGCTTGGGGCACTCCCTTCCCCCTACCTGGGGTACCCCCTCACCCCACAACCCTGCCTGGGGTACCCTCTGCCCCAGAGCCCTGCAGCCGTGTGTCTGTGTGGCTGTGGGTGCATGTGCTGGCGTGTCTGCAGCCCTGTGTGTGCTGGGGAGGTGTGAGCACCTGCACTGCCAGCGTGTGCCTGTTCACCTTTGTCACTGTGTCTGTGTGTGTGTGTGTCTGTCCACGTGTCTGTGAGTCTGTCTGTGAGTCTCTGTGTGTCTGGGTGTGTCTGGGTGTGTGTCTGTGAGCTTGGCTGTGAGTCTGTGTGTTTGTGTGAGCCTGGCTGTGTGTGTGTCTGTGAGTCTGCCTGTGAGTCTCTGTGTGTATGTGTCTGGGTATAAGTGTCTGTGTGTGTGTGTCTGTGAGCTTGGCTGTGTGTCCATCTTTGTTGCAGCTGTGTGTGTGCCTGTGTGAGTCTCTCTGTGAGTCTGGCTGTGTGTCTGTCTGGCTGTGAGTCTGTGTGGCTGTATCTGTGTGTGTCTGTGTGTCTCATGGGGTGTGTGTCTGTCAGTCTCTGTGTCTGTGAGCTTGGCTGTGAGTCTCTCTGTGAGTCTGGCTGTATGTCTGTGTGGCTGTGAGTCTGTGTGTGTGTGTGTGCCTGTCTGTGAGTCTCTCTGTGAGTGTGTCTGTGAGTCTCTGTGTCTGTGAATCTGACTGTGAGTCTCTGTGAGTCTGTGTGTCTGTGTGTGTGTGTCTGTGAGTCTCTCTGTGAGTGTCTGTGTGCCTGTCTGTGGGTCTCTGGGTCTGTGAGTCTCTCTGTGTCTATGTGTCTGTCTGTGTGTGTCTGTGAGTCTGTCTGTGTGTCTGTGTGTGTCTGTGAGTCTGTCTGTGTGTATCTCTGTGTCTGTGAGTCTGTCTGTGTGTATCTCTGTGTGTGTGTCTGTCT